ATATCTATATCTATATCTATATCTATATCTATATCTATATCTATATCTACATCTACATCTATATCTATATATCTATATCCATATATGGTGTCAAATCAATTGCAACCGCGTCTTTGGTGGATGCAAACAATTGAGGCATATCGAGAGCTTGTCACACTCAAACACTTTACACGACGAGATCATCGAGCGTTCCGCTAATCAAATCGCTGGCAGCTAAATTGAAATGAACGCAGGGCCTCGCCGCCCCTTTGGTCAGCCCGTTCCGTACCGATCCGATCGGACTACGTCAATTGTCTTTGGTCAGTCGAGCATCAGAGTCGCGGGTAACTGGAGCTTTGGTCTCTTTTTAGACGCAACGCTTCAATGCAATTTGCATAAGTCGCGCCGCGAGCATAACAAAAGCACAAATAATCTCACAAATCTCGCCCAACTTTAACCCGCTTTTGTCTCTCATCTTCTTTTTTTTTTGGGTGTTTTTTCCCTGAGTGCATAATGAGCTGCAGTTCGGTAAGTAGTTAGGATGCTGCGTCGCCTGTGTCGAGTCGGTGCGACATCTTGGCGCTCAGCTAAGCCAAATTGCCAAAGCGTGCGTCACTCATAGAGAATCTTGACTCATTCCAAATTGACTAAGCCTCTTTCTCTATTCACAATTCTTTCGTTCTCGTTGACAGCCCAAAGTCTTCAAGCAGCTCAGCGCAGCGGAGCGTGAAAAGTTTTTCGATTCATTCGACGTCGTTTTCTGTGATTGCGATGGTTTGTTCAAAGCATAGACAGCTAGGGCTGTTAAATAACTAACGGGAATTCTGGTCACCTAAGAGTAAACCCCATCTGATACTATAGCAATTCATTTCAGCTCTATAGGCGTAGGTTGACCTCTGTTTAAAGAGTCTACGAGCCCAATGCTAAAAGTGAAAATGTCAGCAGCTCAACAGTTCTAAGGATCTAAGGACCCAAGGCCTAAGGGTCTAGAGTTTGAAAGATCTAAAGATCTAAGGGTCTAGAAGTCAATAGATCTAAGAATCTGGGAGTCTATAAGGGTAGACCGAAGATTTTGTATTCGGAGTTACTAGAGCCTTTAACATTTAAGGGTACAAAGTTCTAGAGATCCAAAGGTGTAAGAGTCTAAGGAACTAAGAATTTGAAGGTGGTAGGACTTAATGGTCCAAAGTTCTTAGGGCCGAATGGTTAAAAGGTCTAAGAATCTGAGAGTCTGCAAGTGCCAAAGGTCTCAGATTCTATCTAAGGGCCCAAATCTAAGGTCTAAGGTTATAAAAGTCCAATGATGATAATGCAAAAGTTCGATAGTCTAAAAGTCAAAGATTTAGAGGTCTCATCGCCTAAGGTCTATGGGTTGAATTGCTCAAAATAGAATGGGCCAAAAGAGCTAAGAGCTAATAGGTCTAGGGTCTAAGAGATCTACGGTGCAATGTCTAATGCTCCAAAGGTCCAAGGGCCCTTTAACATATTGGGCTTGCTTGCAGGAGTTGTCTGGTATACGCTGCGAGACTTTATACCCGGCTCGGCCCAAGCCCTGGCGGAGCTGCAGCGTCGTGGCAAGCGGCTGACCTTTGTGACCAACAACAGCATCAGCTCCGTGGCGGAGCATCTGCACAAGTTTGCCGAGCAGGCGCCGCTGCATGTAGCGAAGGTATGTCCAGAGATCAGGTCGAGGATTCGAGGATTATTCCATAAGTCTTGACCCACAGGAGCAGATTGTGCATCCGGCCCAGGCCGTTTGTGACCATCTGAAGGCCATGGAATTCGGCGGGCTGATCTATTGCCTGGCGACGCCGCCGTTCAAGCAGCTGCTGCGCGATGCTGGCTTCCGGCTAAGCCAGGAGGTGAGTTGCCTTGCCTCGAGCTCGTTGACCGGGACTCAGCTCGTTTTCGTCCGATCAGCGCGAGGGCTTCGTCATCAAGACTCTGGCCGAGCTGCGTGAGGCCATCTTTGGCGGCGAGCCCGTGGATGCGGTCATCATCGATGTGGACTTCAATCTGACGGCGACCAAGCTGATGCGTGCCCACGTCCAGCTGCAGAATCCCAGCTGCCTGTTCCTGGCCGGCGCTGCAGATGCGCTGATACCCTTCGGCAATGGCGACATCATCGGTGGGTAATCACTTGGCTGTGCTCGGGCCTGGAGTGACTAGAGGTTTTCGTTTCGCTCTAGGACCCGGACCATTCATCGACATTGTCGCCCAGTCGACGGGCCGGCAGCCAACGGTGCTGGGCAAACCGGGCGAGGCACTGCGTCAGCTGCTGCGCCAGCATCACGCCCACGTCCCGCCCAACCGCGTGCTCTTCGTCGGCGACAGTCTGGCCAGTGACATTGGCTTTGCGCGCGCCAGCGGCTACCAGACGCTGCTGGTGCTCACCGGCGGCAGCAGCCAGGCCGACGTGGACAGCCTGGCCGCAGGCCATGGCCACATGCCGGACTATGTGAGCGATTGCCTGGGCGATCTGTGCGATAAGTATGACTAAGCTGGCCACCGAGGGAATGCTGAGCAGGAGGAGGAGTGTCGAGCCCTAAACACGCCTCATATATCATTTGTAACTTAGATAAGTCTATGGACACTAGAATTCTAGATGCAATAAAGTCGATAGTTTACCTAGTAATGCATAATGTATATAAAAAGGGAGAGGGAGAGAGGGAGAGGGGGAGAGAGAGAGAGATAGACATAGAGAACGAACAAGAGGAGCAGCGCAATCAAATTCCCATTTCAAGTCGAAATGGATACTAGAATTCTAGATGCAATAAAGTCGATAGTTTACCTAGTAATGCATAATGTATATAAAGAGAGAGAGAGAGAGAGAGAGAGAGAGAGAGAGAGTGAGAGAGGGAGAGAGAGAGAGATAGACATAGAGACCGAACGAGAGGAGCAGCGCAATCAAATTCCCATTTTAAGGCGAAACCGAATCAAATGGAAACGGGAATCGGAGTACATGTTGAAAACAATATCTTATCAATAATATAAAATAAATACATATAGATCTATTTATAGTAAGGTACAGGTTTACGATCAAGTAAGGCCAGACATACTACAGAATAATTTGACAAATCCGAGTCAAATGAATAGCTAAAGTGAAACAGATTATATATGTATTAAAAACAAGGTCTTATCAAAAAAATAATACACCTATATACACACTACAAATATATAGTATAGTTATGGAAGCGGCTTCCAAGCAAGTAGGGGAAGTAAGGCAAGGAATAATTTGATAAATCCGAGACAAAATAAAGAAGTGAAACAGAGTGCATATTTAAAGCAAGAACTTATCAAAAATATAACACATACTATACGTAGTACATATACTAAATTAAAACGGAACCAGTTAGGAATACTTAGGAATACATTTTCTATATATATGACAAGGTCACCGTAAACCCTTAAAACTATGGATATATATCCTCTACAAGTATTTGTATATCTTCAAATGTTGTTTGGGATTAGCCATGCGCCTTGGGTGTACTCTCGGCCAGCAATTGCACTAGATCCACCACGCTGTCCGCATAGTAGTCCGGCAGCAGATCGGGATCCGTTACGGCCCGAAGCTGGCTGAGCGAACAGCCGCCGGTTAGGACGAGCAGCGTCTGGAAGCCGAGCTGACGGCCGAAGAGCACATCCTGGGCGAGCATGTCGCCGATCATGAGCACGCGCCGTGGATCCGTGATTTTGTTCTGCTGGAGGAGCATGTCGCCCAGCGGCCGGCCCGGCTTGCCCATCACAATCGGCGGCCGGCCGCTGGCCTCCACGAGAATGGAGGCGAAAGCACCCGGCCCGATGATGTTCACACCCTTGCCCACTGGGAGCAGGCGATCTGTGGCGCCGGTAATCAGCAGGCAGTCGGGATGGCGCAGGTACAGATGGGCACGCATCAGCTTGGCTGAGGTCAGATTGAAGTCGACATCGATGACCACAGCGCGCACTGGCTGCTTGTCGAATATGTGGCGCGCCAGATCCGCATAGGTTTCCTCGATAAACTGATTGGGCTAGAAGAGTGAAGCATCGAGATGGGATTAGGATTTGGCCAGGACGCCTCGGCTGCCACTTACGCCTTCGAGCAGCTGGAAGCCCGCCTGCTTCAGCACCGCCTTGAACTGTTGCGAGGCCATGATATAGATGAGCCCCTCGAACTGGATGCTCCGCAGATAGTAGACCAGCGTCTGGGCCGGATGCCAGATCTGCTCCGGCGTCACTTGGATCTTCGACCTTTCGAAGCGTCGCACCGTCTGCTCCAGGGTGCGCACGCTGTTGTTGGTCACAAAGGTGAGCCGCTTGCCGGCCCGCTCGAGGGCGCTATAGGCCAGGCCAGCATCGGGGACATCCGACTCCAGGTTGTAGATGACGCCATCTATGTCACTGAAGACCCAATCAAATGACTCCAAGAACCGTTGCCTCTGCTCGCTGCTCATCGTCAAGATGTGTTGCGGCTGTACAACAGAAAAAAAAAAAAAAACAAAAAAACAAAAATTCAGCCAAATGATAAGTTAACTTCCTTAATGTGGGCCAAGTCCATGAGACTAACACTGTTGCTCTCCGCCATGTTGCTGTTGTTGCTGTTGCTGCTGGAGCTCGAGGTTGTCGCTGGCACGTCTGGCAGCCAACTAACGTGACAAACTCGACCGGCGCATCATAAAACGCCTAAGCTGCAAAACAAAATTCTAGTATTAAGAACACAGCACAGAAAAAAAAAAGAAGAAAAACAACAGCAGCAGCGGCAGCAACAACAACAAATTAAATAATGATTAACACTTTGCAGCGGTAAGCTAAGACGTAGACACTAGATTTGTCAGTCAGCGCAAAGCCAATAGCAGCAACAACAACAACAATTAAAAAAGGGGCAACTTTTATTTACTGATGTTGTTGTCACAGCAAACTGCCGTTGCTTATCGGAACTATTTACTACACGAGCTTCAGCTCTCTTTCTGTTCCTCTCTCTAAGGCGCTCTCGCTCTAACTATTTCACACTCTTGCTTTCTTGACGTGCGCTCTCGTTCATTGCACTCCCACTCTACAAACACACGCACATGCATACACAAACAAATACGCATACATATGTGTATGTATGTATATCGGTATCTTGCGAGGCGTCGATTGGTAAGCAGCGTTCAAATCAGCAATTTAACTGGAAATGTAGCAATAAACATACATGCATACATATGCATTTGCATATGTGTGTGTGTGTGTGTCTTTCATTCAGGAATTGCCCACAGAGCAACTAACTGTCAGGGCTATGTGCACAAATGACGTATGCCTAACAGTGGCGTATGCCTAAAATGTACGCTTTACATTATTGTACATATGCATACATACGTGTATATGTACATATATACATATATGCAACGATAACATATTACATTATGTTAATTTCCAATTTTACGTTTTCGTAAGTTTCATATTTGTAATCTGTTACTTTCCAAACGTAGAATTCAAATGAAAATCTCTTATTCGGGCGTATATATACAGGGTTAACTGTTATTTATTATTAAAATTACATGATTATTTCGCATTACAACTACAATACAACTTATTCTCGACTAAGTTTCTAATAACTAGCTACAACCAAAACAAAGAATTAAAAAAAAAAAAAAAAAAAAAAAATTATGAAATCGAAACCCTGTTCAGTGCGGGTTGAACAACGTAAGACAATGTGAGTGCTTGTAATACTTAGGTATAGATAATATGTATGAAATAAATATCGAGCATGTGTATGTTTCCAAGTATCATATAAGTGGTATTAATATTAGTATTAAACGTAACGTAAAAGAACAATTTCAAAATCACAAGGCTTAGTGTAGTAATAGAGATAAGTGTAATATGTTTAAAATATAGATATAGATATATATGCGACTATACACCTGTATACAGATATACACATTGAAAATGTTGAAATTAACATTAATAATATCCGTGTTAGAATTAATTTCCTTTTCTGTTTTGGAATAGCACATTCTGTGCTCTAACTGATAATAATACGAAAACAAATCAAATTCAAGAACGCCAACATAGTGTATGGCCCTAGAGGCCGATTTCTAGTGTGCTAATCCTTCTCCTGCTGCTGCAACAGAGCCGAAATCTCCTGAAACTTGTGACGATAATCCACGCTGCTCTCACTGATCACCGACATGGAAGACGACGGATCCTGAAAGATGGATTGATTGAGAGATTGATCTGCTGCTAGATTCACTAGAATCACTCACCAGTATATCGCGCGTGGCATCAAAGTCATCCAGATGCCCCAGCAAACTGGTCAGCGAAAAGTCATTGATATTCTCCTCCAGCCAGCGTGCATTGGACGTGGAGTCGCGCAGCAAATGCATCGGACTGACGCTGCCATTGAAGAAGCTTTGAGCTGAAAAAAAAATAAGAATAAGAAGAGGAATTAGCATCAGTAAATAGCGATCAGTAGAGCAGTTAAGCTATTTGTATGGAATGAAAAGGGATAGCCTTTGCTTGAGACACGCGGAACGATTGGAATTGAAATGCCAATGCACAGACAAATGAGCTCAAGTTACCAAGTAAAGTTCATGTTATCGTAGAACTCTCAGTATATTTGACATGTCTAGCTCTTTCAACATTGTTATCTGTTCTCCGCTTTCGTCTTCTCCATTAATTATCTAGAAATTCTCTAAAGAGTTTTTCATATATCACATGGATTGCAATCTTAAAGGAGAAGAGTATTTCTAGTCTCTGGTTATCTTCTAATGTCTTCACATTCTTATAAATGATTCAGAGTCCATTGAATTGGGTCACCTTAGCAACGCCCACGTCTTGCCCATCTTCGAGCAACGTTGCCTACCCACAATTGCTAAGCTATAACCAGTTGAGAATTTCAAGGCTATAAATTGTCTAAAGTCTTACAAGAGAAGAGAATTCGTAGATATATAATAGATAATTCCTAGATAATGGACATACGTTAGCCTGTTCTAAACTCTAAGATCTGCCCCCTGTCTCCCTCTTTCTCTCTACTTATTATCTAAATCTTGTTTCGCATGGATTCCACTCGATTTGTTCCACTTACAAGTGCTTTCGTCCTGCACCTCCTCGGGCAGAGTCGTGCTTGTGGCTGGCAGTGTTGTTGGCTCCGGGCAGAAGTCCAAGTTCGGCATGTCCAGCCCGCTGACGCCCGAGACGTTGTATTCGATGTTGTTGTAGTTGTTATTGTTGTTGTTGTTAAGGCTATTATTGCCATCCACATCGCTGTTACTGTTGCTGCTGGTGCTGCTGCTGGTGCTGTTGCTGCTGCCCATGCCGGCGCTGCTGTTGCGATCCTCGGCTTCCGCCCGCCGCTGCCTGGCGTTGCTGCTGCTGATTGCATTCAGCTTAGATATCACAGCGTTGATCTCATCGTTTTCAGCGTTGCTGCTGCTGCTGACGCGGTCGATGGGCTCGAAGAGTCCGTTCTGCAGGCTGAGCACATCGTACGGCTGATCGACCGATGACGGCGGCAGGAGGCAACGCTGCACTAGCACCTGCCGTGAGAGCTTTTGTCGGCTGAGCTGTAAAATCAATGCAAATTAATAAATGTCATATGGCTCTCAGCAATTTGTGAGTGATACGCACCTTGCTCAGCTGACGCACTGGATCAATGATGTTGACCATGGGCCGACGCACTGGCAGCATGGGCGTGCGAAAGACAACCTCGTTGCCATCGCCAGAGTTGCCGCTGGCTGCCGGAGCTGCACCGCCCGCTGCCGCTCCGGGCCCAGAGCCGACCAGATTGCTCATACAGCGTGCCTTCGTGATGAGATCGCGCTTGCGATCGCAGCTGTGGCCGCAGCTGCACTGGCGCTTGCGCACGCGCTCGCTGAGATTGGCGACGAGCAGCAGATGCTTCAGCTTGTTGCTCACCGACGCCGTATTGATGGCCTTGACGCGCTCCACGCTATCACAGTCGTTGGCATTGTAGGGCAGCGATGTCGATGCTGACGTGGACGTCGAGGCGGTGACGCCAGTGGCGCTGCTCGACGTGCCCACCTCCGGCTCGCACCAGTAATACTCGAGCTCCAGCTTGGAGTCCTGGCCCAGCACCACATACAGATCCCCGATGGTGATGTCCGCCGAGTTCGCTATCGTCCAGCCGCGGCGTATGCGCTTGATCACGTCGTCGCTGAGCAGCGGCTTGAAGTTGCGCGCTGCAGCCGCTGCCCTGGAGCCCTTGCCGCCGCCAGCGCCAGGGCCCTCGCTGCGTTTGGCACGTGCCGGTGCCGGTGCCGGGGCCGGAGCCGGAGCTGGAGCAGGTGGTGCGGGCGGCGCTGGTGGCGGCGGAGCAGCTACTCTACTCTCGACTGGCTCAGCTGCACCGCTAGCGCTTGTGGATGTGAGCAAATCATTGATCTCTTCGCTCAGCTCGTCGCCGCTGCTACTCTCTAGCTTTACGTGATTGCTCGCCTCGGCCAGCTCGTCCATGGACTTGTCGTGCGCCGGGCTGGACTGTGGCTTCAGTTTCTTCGTCTCTGGCGAACGTTTCTCCGAGCCGCTCTCGGTGCGTGCCCGCTTGGCGCTTGCCGCTGCTGCAGCTGCGGTGCTGTCCAGTGTCTCGCTGCGCACCTTGACGCCCAGACGCTCCTCGTAGGCGGCCAGGCAGATGTTGACGCTGCTCAAGTACGCCGTAATGCTGAGCAGCGGGCGGTGTATGGGCACGCCTGGCTTGGGCAGAAAGCAGACCGTTGGCTCCGTGTAGGTCTCGGCTGGTTCCGCGCTGCCGGCAGCAGCGGGGGCGGCAGCAGTGGCGGCAGCGGTGGTGTTCGCAGTGGCTGCAGTGGCGCTGCTCGATTGGAGATGCTGCTCCGCCAGGCGAACGTCGGGACTGCGCCATTTGTACTGGAACGTCTTGATGAACGTGATGAGCTTCTTGTGCAGCGGCACAATGGCTCGCCCGCGCGGATTTTGGGCCAGCGCCTGGACACGACCAAAGGCCTCCATGTTCGCCGGACTGACCAGCACTTCGATCTTGCTGGGCAGGCGAATGTCCTCCAAGGTGTCTGAGGGAGGAGGAATATTGAAATGAATTGATATGGATTGGACCTCAGTTATTCCGAATCAACTCACCGTCCAGCTGATTGAGGCGTCGCAGCGCCTTGCACGAGGGCGTCTTGATGCGTATATTCTTGCCCTTGCTGCGCACCGTGATGTGGCCCTGGTAGATCAGCTGCTTCAGCTTCATGAAGTGCTTCTCCGTGAGGAACTGCAGCTTGCGCCGCATCTCGCCATAGTTAATCAGCGTGTAGAGCTCTTGGGCGGGCTTCTTGAGCTCTATATAGTGGAGGTGGAGGACTTCAATAAGTAAATGCGGATGGTTGATGTATTCAAGAACTCACCATCAGTGAAGCGCACATATTTGCCAATCTTGTGATATGTCTGATAGTAATGCTGGCGCACCTGGTCCTTGGTCTTGAAGCTGTAGTCGCTGCTGGAGTTGCGACGCTTCAGCTTGGCATTGATGCAGTTGGCCACCGCCTCGAAATCTTTGCCAAACTCGTTGAGCGCATCGAAGAAACAGTTGCGCTCCAAATTTGTCCAGGTCGTTTTACTGGCCGCACGCAGCTGCGATGGCGTCTTCTGGGCGGCCTTCTCCTCCTTCTTGTTGTGCTCACGCTCCACTGGCGGCGGTGTCATCGGACGCGTCAGATCCAACTTCATTTTCTGTATGACGCGCGCGCTCGCTCGGGTGCCCGGGCAATTTTGTGTGGTCACCGAGCCCAGCAGTTCCTCGGGCTCGGCCACTGCTGCCAGCTTGAGCTGCACACCCTTGCCATTGCTGGTGGATGTGCTGGCTGCACTGGCTGCCGTCGATGTCTCGGCAACAACAGATTCGGCTGCAAACCTCACACTTTTACACATGCTGCCGTTGTCCTCCATTGCGGCCCACGGCCCACGGCAAATCAACGAACAGGCTATAACGAATGGTAGCAATGATTCCAATTAATATGCTACAAATAGCCCACTCTGCATAGATAACAGATCTGCAGCAGATTCACAGATATTTGCAGATCAATGGCAAACTTTGTGCGACGCCAGCGAAAAAATGGCGCTCGCTAATGGGTCAAGAATTTGATTGGATTTTGTTGTTGTCTGTTTGCGTTCGATTGACTGTTGTTGTTCGATCACTGGCTGCATATTGTATGCATTCACTTGCGTACTTACCCCAAAATGAGTTAATTAATTATTTTACGTTGGATTTGTTGTCGTCTTGGCTTTTATTTATCTTCATTGTTTTGCATTCTTAGCAGCGTATTATGTTATGTTGAATGGCTATTTGGACCGTTAACATAGCGCTGTTAGGTTTGCAGATTACGTTACTCAATCTGCGCTTACGTTACAGATTTATGCATATACACTGCTGATTGAATTAGCTGGTATTTTGTTTTTCCTATGAAATTCAATGTTGTTGTGCTCATTTTCAAGATTCTTGCGAAATGGCACATAAAATATTGTGTTTGTCTACCTGAACCTTGCAGCTTGCTTGGCAGATTTGACCATTAAACTTATCTAGCGCTGAGTCTAGTCATTTCAATTTAAATTTAAAATTGAAACACTTATTTTATTTTTTCTTTTTAAGTTTAAATAAACAATACTGTAATAGAGGTGACCTAAAATCTTGGTTTTATTACTTACTGTTAACACAGATTCCGGTCGTATAAGAAGTTTCGCTTCTGCGTTTTCAAAATGGATTGTCTCGTAACGGAACAGATGATTGCGTTTAACAGCGTACGTTAACGTTAACAGCATGAGCGTCGTAAAAATATTTTAAAGCTGTCTCTTTTTGTATATGTATCGACATTATTGCTTTAATTTTAAGTTTTCAGTTGTCTGTCAATTTTTTAATTTAATTAATATTGGGCAAATCATTTGAAGAAAATGTTTATTATTTATAAACAAAAATCAGCTGACAGAGAATATGTCATTTCTTTTACAGATATTTCTAGCGACAGCAAATGCAACCCTGTAGCGCGCCTGACCAAGTGTGGTGAGTTCAGCATTTGAAAGTCTGCCGTTTAATTAAAACAAAATCTGCTTAGCAAAATTAAATTTATTTGTCCTATACATATGAAAAAAAATATATATTATATATAATTATAGATAAATTGTTTTGCGCTTGTTTGCATCACAAATAAATACCGATAAATATTAAAACTAACACAACTGCAACGAGTATGGCAATGAGCATTATTTTTTTCTGCAAAAAAATAGATGGAGGTTAGGAAAATGCTAAGCTAAGAAATTTATTTTCAACTAAAACACCTTGCGCGCCTTCTCCCGGTACTCGTTGGCCTTGTCGAGCTCAGTGCCGCCCTTCTCAGTGTAAAGGGTCGCTTGATTCGCATGGAACTCCACCCGCTGTATAGTCTCGCTCTGCTCCATGACGAGCGTTTGGATGCGCATGAAGAGCGCATGGACATCCTCAATGGATTTCTCCAGCTTTCGCAGCTCATTGAACCGATCCATCAGATCGCGCAGCGTCTGCCGCTCCTTATCTGTCTCTTGCAGTATCTAAAACAATTTAATTTGTTCATTTTTGTGGTTGTTGTTGCTCCTCTTTGCTAGTCATCATTGAACTCACATTGTCCACAAAGAGCTTCGTTGTCTTGTTCTCGATCAGCAGCTCAATCTCCTGATCTGTGGCCTCCGAATTGACTAAACAGAGTGGGATTAATGGGATTCTAGTTGCTTACTGATCTCGATTACTTACTGATCTTGGAATGCATGCGCAGATTCTTCTTGACCTTCAGCTCATAGTTCTGCAGGAACTCTTCGTTCTTCTGCCACAGATTGATGAACGTCTGGTAGAGGCCATAGAACAGGGTGCGCTTCATGCGCGCCTCCAGACAATAGTCCGTCTCGGACGGCAGATTCGTTTTGAATTCTCTGAATCGGCTCATCAGGTGATTGCCCAATCGCAGATTCTTGTTGTGCAGCTCATCCATTTCGTTCTCTGTGGATTATATACATGTATTTTGTATATATGAGTGCTTCTGGTGTTAACGCTCATGTGTATTCACTGTACCTACCGCTGAAGGTGCGCAAGTGAATCGTCTGGGACATGCGTTCCATGGCCTCCAGATTGGTCACGATTTGCGACAGTTGATACCGTATTTCCGAATACTGCAAATAGTGTTGGTAAACGTGGTTTGTTAATAGTAAATATACAGTTATATATTTAAATAACTATCAAGTGCTCTCCCTCTCTCTCTCTCTCACACACACACACACACACACACATACATATGTTTGCCACTGAGCCGCAAGCTAAAGCGCCATCAATAATCGATTCATAAATTAATTAGCTCAATTAAAGGTAGGCATACAACCACTTGGCTTAATAATTATGTTGGCCCCAGTAAGAATTCAAAATTGACATTGGACAAATCAAAATCAATTGTATTTACATATCCGTTCAGGATATTAAATTTCATGACTTAAGTTGTATATTGTCTTGAGAAATGTGGAAGTATAGCAGTGATTAATTATATATAAATCTATTATTATCTTAAACTGGAACAATATGATGGAAATATAGCCTAACAGTGATTATTTATTAATAGTTGTTCAAAATTCTGCAGAACAAGGAACTCATTATATTGCAAGCTGGCCTGCGATAAGCGAAAAACTTGTAAAGTTCATCATAATCATTTGTTACATATAATAATCCAAGATTCGGTAACAAAAAAGTTCATTAAACCTTTTAATAAACAAGCGATAGTTATATATATATGTACGTACATATATACAATAAAAGTAATAATAATAATATTAACAGGCACTGACATACACTCTATGCATTTACACACATATACATATGTACATACATACTTATATGTACATACATATATGTATTTGTTGCTCTATATGTATGTACTTTATTAATTAGACGCTGCTATAAGCCAGCATTCGGTTATCACGCGGTTCGATTGAGTAATTCATTTCTGATGTGGAGGCGCTTGCTCGCTGGCTGATTCATTGGTATGGCCATCAAAAGTAGTGTGATAAACAACAGTTATAGAATCCAATGAGAATTTGGCCTGATTGGCGATGACAGCGTGCCGATTACAAAAGGAAAACAGCTCAGGTTCCATTTGGCGTGTAACGCACGCAATTAAATATGAGACATACAATAGAAGCGTGAGCCACAAAGCAAATGTAGAAGAAAGAGAAGTGATTTCATTTCTTCTTATACTTAACGTTTATCTCATGCTAATCTTATCTGTGTTGGCAACTTGTTGAGATTTTGTGTTTATAGTTTGCATTTTATACTCGATTCATTCATAATTCTGAGCATAACATTTGCCTCATTATGCGATGCGCACAATATGCTTTATACGCTCCGCTCTAGTTTTGCTACACTCAGAGCTCACTCTCTCTCTCGTTTACACGCACACTAACAGACTAGATTCAGGATAGCATCCACATTCGTTACCTGCTGCGACATATCGCGATAGTATTGCCTATCGTGACCGCTCTTGCTTCGATATACAAACAGTTCCCTCTCACTCACACTAGATTCAGGATAGCATCCACATTCGTTACCTGCTGCGACATATCGCGATAGGCAAGAGCGTGACCGCTCTTGCTTCGATACACAAATACGCTCTCTCACACACCAATACACACATACTTACTGGATTTAGAATAGCCTCCACATCTGTGCCCGACATTTTGCTGCGATCTTTATTGTTGTCTACGCCGCTGCTGCTGCCGCTGTTGTAGTTGCTGTTGCTGTTGGTTAAGGACTCGGTGGTGGCGTTGTAAGCGCTAAGCAAAAGCGAGCCGTTCGATGATGAAGACGTTGAGTTGGCGCTCAGCGAGCGCTGCAAAACAGTTAACAAAATGCTCAAACAGTTAGCACAGCGCGAGCTCGACAGACGGGGGAAAGAAACTAACAAAATTGATTTTCGAGCATCGCTGCTGCAGCGATGCCGGCGCGACTCTAACTAAAACTTCGTGCTTAAATTAGACGGCTTTTTTTCTTCATCTTCTTTTCGGCTTGTTGCTTTTTTCTTTGTCGCTAACGATCTGCGCTGCTCTCACTGCTCGGAGGGGGCTGGGCACGATGGGCGCGAAATGCACAATCTGGCAGCGTTGTGCATAATAAAAGGTGGCCAGCCAAATTGGAAATTGGAACGGAACAATGGGTCTGGGGGAATGGCCCTCACATGAGGGCTACTTTATCGCTCTTATCTGTGGCCAATCTGATAATAACGGCCCGAGCTCAACAATGACAACACGCACCGCGCCATCTACCCCCACCCCACCAGCGTACATGACAAGATAGTGCTAATGCCGGCTGTGGAATGTTGCTTAGTGTTTGGCAATGCCGGGCAAAAAAAAAAAAAACCGTAAAGCAAAAATTAAACTAAAAACTATTACAAAATGCAGCTAGACGGAATCACAAGTTTTTGATTTTATACGAAGCAATTTATTTGTTATTTGTTTTGAACTCTAGCCGAAAGTACTGCCTAATAATGGGCGCCACAGGATGTTATTTATGAAGCACTTATGCAACACTTTATTCTTTTGCTTTTTGCTATCATCATTTTGCATTTTGGCACACTGTATTTGCTCAATAAACAACTGAAGCTTGCTCTCTCACAGAAAAAAAAAGAATCGGAAAAACATTGGCGCTAATAACTTAAAAAAAAAAAATAAATAAAAAAATAACAATTTACACAGCGACTCACCTGTAAAAGGTCTGGCAGCCTATCTCTGGTCATTGTGGCTGTGTTTGTGTGTGTGTGTGTGTGAGTGTAGGTGCTGCAAAGTTTGTTTTTGTTGTTGTTAGAGTTTAGCGTTGATTTTGTAAGCAGCGACGCGATACATTTATACACATATGTATGTATGTATGTATGTATGTATAAATTTCTTTTTGTTTTTGTTTTTGTTTCAGAGCACTTGTTTTAATTGCTTTGCACATGCGGTAGGATAAATATATACATACGCATGTATATTGCAGTTGTATTTTGTATACATATGCATGTAGATGAGCGGCAGTTGCTGTTGTTGTTGCTGTTGCTTTGCATAATCGACAATGCAAACTGCGCGTTGAGCTTTGTGCGCGCTTTTGTTATTGTTGTTGTTCAGCTTCTTCTTCTTCTGCTTTCTGCTGCTGTTGTTGCTGCTGCTTCTTCATTGCTCTGGGACACTTGGACGACGGCAACAGCTGTGCTCTAACTGTGCGTACGCTTCTGCCCAGTGAACAGTTACGCGTGAGAGTAAAGCGCACACAAATCGCAAGTGTGAGAGCGAGTGAGAGCGAGACCGAGAGAGTGAGCAAGTAAACGAGCGCGAGAGTGCGATATCAAAGTTGATAAGTAACGGTGCTTATCGGCAATGCCCTTGTGTGTGCCGTGTGGTGGGAGTGTGTGAGTATTCCTGTTTATGTGTGTGTGTGTGTGTGCATGTATTTGATTAAGTGCTACCTTATCGCACTTTCAGCACTACATTTGCCGTTATATTTGCAATTGTATTTGTATTTGGAAGACGCTTTGACTCTTGCACTTTATTTTTGTCATCGACTGTTGCACGACCTTCTTTACCAGGCGGCAGATGGAGTATTTGTGAGAGTGGGAGAGAGAGAGCGAGAGTGCATAATAATATTTATAGCTTTCATTAATTGCAACAAGTTTTGTTTTTTGATAATGTATAGGTTTTGTTTTTTTTTCTTTTCAATTTTGGTTTGTATATAAATATTGTATAATTGAGATCTCTTCACGCCGCACGTCGCCTGCCAACTAACAGCGCCGGCAGCAAAATAAATTCCACATAGCGCTGGCTCCTCCGCGTCAGAGGCTGCCGCCACTGAGATTTCTTTCAATTTAAAGATTAGCACAAAGCGTGCATGTACATGTGTGTGTGTGTGTGTGTGTGTGTGTGTATGTAGCACAGATAAAGTTATGTATTATGTGTAAGTCAGTCCGTCCGTCCGTCTGGCTGTCTGTCTCTGCGTCTCTCTGCACTTTTCAGCGTCTATTCTGGAAATTGAACCGGTTGCGACGCTCTATGAAAAATGTGTTAATTGCCACTTTTATTCGCGTATTTTTTGTTGTTGTTTCTTTTTTTTTTTACAAGTACAACCTTTATTTTTTATGCTATTCAACAGCAACAATAACAACACCGTTCAATTGAAGGTAGCGACGTCAACGGCAACGGCAACGGCAACGGATCCAAAAGTCACTTGCGCTAATTAGTTGAACTTTTTCCTATTGCTTTTTTGCTGCTGCTGCTGCTGCTGCTGCTGCTGCTGCTGCTGCTGCTGGTGCTGTTGTTGTTGTTATTTCGTGCTTGCGGTTGCAAAACGCTTATAAGCTTGACGACAGCGACAACGACGACGCTGGCTGGCGTCGACTGCAAATTTGTATACTTCTCATTCTCGTTCTCGAATCGCCAGCAAAAAGCGCACGACGACGCAACCGTCCGTGGGTCACAGTTCTCAATTCAGAATTCAATGCATTCCAATTACGACAATGGAACAGAGTGAGGAGCAAATTGATATCGAGTGATAATATATGCAAAGACACACACACACATACGCACACATACACACACATACACATACATATACATACATACATATATGCTGATATATAATTTATTTATAGTGCAAATGCATATGTATGTATGTATGTATGTATGTGCCTTATAAATGATATTCATTGTTGCTTAATGGATAAAATGGAAGAAGAAAACTGAATTTGCTTATATACAATATAAATATTTGCATACACACATACGTATACATATGTACATACATGTATGTACACATTCCCCGGGCTTAAAGGCGCAACGCCGTAGGGCTAAATGTTATTAACTAACTGTGTGTCGTTCAGTGAAACCACAAGAATGCAAAATTCATACAAAGCATTCAATATAGATGACCAAGATACCCTGTAATGGCAAATGTAGAGCATATTTGTGTGTGACTTAATACATTGTGTTCGCCTTTTGTACAAGGTATTTCACAGTCGAGCTACAGCCCTTGATTTCCTCAATGTGAACTTTGATTTATCAGCAACAGAGTCGAACCGAACGACGTAACGTTGAATTTGATTGAAAGAAAATCTTGCTCGATATGCGGGTAAATGCTATATATGTATATTCGCATACAAGTTGCACTCGAGTTATACATATATATGTATATATGTATGTATGTATGTACATTTATATATATAGACGTGACTCAGTCCGAGCAAACACACAAAAAATCCCTCGTAAAGCCGATCATGATTCAAGCTAACTGAAAGCTGATATTTAAGCTGCGTTGTGACAAAAAAATGGCATTCAATTGGAGAGGAATCAGTGAAGCAATCTAAAGAGAATCATCGGACGGGAGAGTGGGAAAGGGGAACAGAGAGAACTGAAGACTGCCAGAGGGAGGGAGGGAGTTGGGATTCTCTTTTAATGAATCAGCGATATATGTTCATTAGCTCTTTATATTTCTTTTAAGGAGAGAGAGAATGAGAAATATGTAATATATGATGAGGGAGAGGAGAGAAGGTAAGTAAGAAGGTAAGGGGAGAGGGAATGAAATACACACAGAGAAAGAAAAAATTAGATAGGAAGGCAGAGAGAGAGAGAGAGACAGAGAGGTACAGAGAGAGAGAGAGAGAGAGAGAGAGAGAAAGCGAGAGAAATAGAGAGAGGGGGAGAGAAAAAGAAAGAGAAAGCGAGAGAAATAGAGAGAGGGGGAGAGAAAAAGAGAGAGAAAGCGAGAGAAGAAGAGAAAGGGGGAGAGAAAAAAAAGAGAGAGAGAGAGGAAAAAGAGAGTAAGGTCGAGAAAGCGAGTCAAATCGAGAGACAGAGAGAGAGAGACTGAGAGGAAGAGGGTGACGTGCCGACAGATGCAGAGAGTGGTAGAGAGAGATGGAGAAAGAGAGTGAGAAAGTGAGAGGGATAGTATGATCACAAAAGAGAGAGATAGAGAGACAGAGCGAGAAAATATTGTATACGAATGGGAGAAAAATAGACAATAAATTATATAAACATTTAAGAGAGGTTTATTAGTTTTGATATATTACTTGAAGTCTCAAAGTTCGTAAGTCTGTTGATTTAAAGCTCAACGAATTGATTGGATAGTTTAATATGACTTACCAGAAAAACTAACTAAGCTTTAATGAGAATGCATATGACTTTACTAAGTGGAAATCAAATTGTATATCTTAATAGACATTTCTCAAAGTTCTATGACTAACAAAAGCCCCTAGCGACACATTATAGATGCATTAGCTTTGTGTTCAGCTTTTGTTTGAGTTCAATCATCGATTCGGAATCAATTGAGGCGATTTAGTGATGCATTCAAACTCTTTGCAGTGCAAATGCTGTGCTGCAGTTCCAGCTCCGAGATCTAGTTCCACTTTGAGTTCCAGCTCTCTTTCCAGAGTTCAATCTCAGCTTCAACAACCTTTCTTACCTCCTCATAGAAGAGATTATAGAGATATTGTTGGTTCTTAAAGTAGCAACTCCAGTTCCCGCTGCAGCTCCGGTTCCAATTCAAACTTCAACTCCAGTTCCAGCTGCCAATCTGAGTTCAGCTTCAGCTTTGGCTCCATCAATTTCGAAATAAATTCTGAACTCTTTGGGAGCCTTTAGTTGTCATCAGTGGGTTCAGCTGCAGCGGCAGCTACTGGTTCCAGTTCCAGTTCCAGTTCAGCTTTGCCATTTTTGGTTGATTATGAACCTTTGGCTTCATCGGCTCGTCTGCGCACGGCAACAATTCGAGATGTGCAAAAATGTATATTGCTCATACGCCCTGTATGCCGGGCCTTTGTTTTTTATGTTTGTTATTCATGCTGTTGCTGTTGTTTGTTGTGTGTGTGTGTGTGTGTGTGCGTGTGTGTTGGTATTGGTGTTGCTCATGCTTTAGCGCAGCTTTGTTTACAATTTATTTTGTCATGTGTCGAAAATTGCAAATTTATGAGTTTTTGATGAGTCTTTTTGTGCGCGTCGCTCGCTCGCTCGCTCGCAGTTATTTGCTGGTGTTTTCCTTTATGTGGGTCAGCACACACACACACACACACACATACGCATAGGCACACGCATCGAGCATATCCAGGCGCATCCTGCGCGCTTTGACTTTTGATTAAATTCGCACGCGCCAAACTATAAATGACGCGCACGGCAAAAACAGCCAAAGGAAAAATACAAAAAAAATGTATAAAAAAAACACAGCAAAAAAAAAAAAAAAAAATAGTAATAAAGGTAAAAATAGATATGCAAAACTAAATAGATAAAAAATATATATATTTATATACAAAAATATTTAAAAAATAATTTTATAAAAAAATGTATACAGAAAAAAAAAATAATAAAGGTAACAAGTAAGAAAGCTCTAGTCGAGACTGCTCGACTACGAGATCCCCTGAACC